GAACCAAGAACTTTGAAACCAGCGACGTCGGGAAGGCACTCGCGGAGGTGGAAGTCACACCCAGTGCTTTGAGGAATGTATCTGGCCACTATGTGTCAAAAGTGACACCAGTGCTTTGAGGAATGTTTCTGGCCAGTGTGTGTCAAAAGTGATTGCTGTTTTTTTTTCTTTTTTCTTTTTCTTTTCGTTTCCTTTTGTTGCCCTGCCAGCGAGGCAGGACGTATTCCACGCAGGGCAAGTAGCTGCCTCAGTCACGTCATACTCGGTCGTGCGAAGAGCAAAACCAAGTTTAGAGGATAAAGTGAACAAGCAAAATTCCTCTTGAAGGGGTATTTGGTTCAGCATCAAAGACAAAATCTGGCTATATGCTGGAACCTCCGCCCGAGTGACGCAAGCAAGATAATAATGATAATTAATAATGATAACGAGTGTGCTGTTGCGGATAATCAGCAGGGAAGGCATACGGACTATTAATGTAGCGTCATGTATCGGACCACGATCACAGCAGAAGGGTGTTTTTGTTTTTGGTTTTTGTTTTCGTTTTTGTTCTTTTGGTTGCCCCTTCCGTCTTTTGTTCATTGGACAGACACACTCACTGAGGGCCCAGTCTTGTTAAAACTCGTAGAATGTATCTGATGGTTATCATTGCATTAGGGAAGTTTGCTATATTTTGTTCTTCTTTTTTTTGGATGCAGCTCTCTGCCGTGAGTACCGGAAAGGAAAACTCAACAGGACCCAGGCTTGGCAAAACTAGGTCCGCAGTGAAATTCAGGTTCGGCAAAAACAGTATCGGAGGTACTGGTGGTCACAGCCTTGCGTGCACAAGTACATGGCCCAGCCTTGCAGCAGAAAATTTTATCGCTACAAGGAGTTAAAGATGGGCTCGAGAAATGGCATGGCCCCTGCACAAGGATGACACGCATAAATTGAGAAATGGTCCCAAAAAAAAAAAAAGAAAAAAACGTAAAAGATGGGCTTGGGCCAGGGTTGGTCTGTCGGGGAGGCGAAGATTTTCCTGGGACTGTGCGGGCCCACGAAAGAATAAAAAAAACGTCAGACCCAAAAAAAAAAGAAAAAAGTTGGCACATGGTGATTTGGCTGTACGGAACGCCACTGCTCGTTGCCGTGTTGCCTGCTGTCAGATTTTCCCGCCTTTCCATGTTTTGGTGTGCCGTACCCCTTCATGAAAATTTCTGCCGAGTTTTCTGAACGTACTCGTTATGGGACGCTGGGCCCGGTTCCCAGTTTGTGCCAAACAAAAAAGAAAAAAAAAGGTGTGCCGTACCCCTTGCGCCATCGCCATGCGCCTGATCTCTCTCTTTTCACGGCAGTTTGCTCTACAAGTTTATTTTTGCGGATGATGGGAAAAGGAAAATGAAACCCGCGTGCAGAAAATTGTGTTGGGAAAAAGGCCCTCGGAGGTACTGGTGCTGGTGGTTTTTGGCTTGCGGGTGGAAAAGGAATCAGGTTCCCCCCCTACGCCAAGAGTAAAGGGGGTTGAGCGTCAGGACTCCGACGGTACTGTTTTCACCCTATATAGAACACGAGGTTGCTATGGCGGAATCCAGTTCGAAAGGCGTGCCAATTACATCTATAATGATGGGGTGTTCAATTTGGGTGGGTATTGGGGTGGTTCAACAGGTTAGTAATTGACCCCATTGTCCATCTGTTATAGAAATTACATTAGTAATTTAGTAGGAATATATCCTGGTGGACCCATGTAATTTTCAGTCGGTGACATTTGTAAGGTCAGCGCATTCCGGGCATACCCGTGCCAGGACTTTGCTGGATGAATCTGACTGGAGTTTCCACCTTGAAATCTGGATATGTCCCTGACCGCAATGACATGCAAAGTGCAGTCAAGAAAGTCCTAGTGGGTATGCCCTCGGAGAATGTTGGAAAAGGATATGTACTCCACCAAAAGGAGCCTCAAAGCGCACTGTGGACACATTGGAAAATATAACAAGGTCCGAACGAACCCCCGGTACAGCGATTTAGCCCCAGGAGGGAGATGCCAGTAGCCATGTATGTGGATTAGTGTGACGGGTGTGGGACGGGTGGGGTGACAGGTGGGTGGCAGCGTGAAAGAGGGAAAATGAATGTGGAAAACCATTTCGTCACCAAACAAATGAAGGAAAAACTGCTAAAAAAGAAAAGAAAGTGCTCTTCTCACAGGTGGTGTCTGCTCCGGGCAGGGTGTGAGATGTCAGGGTTTGATTCACTGACCACGGCTGTGGCAGTCAAGATGACTGCATGTGAGCATCCAAGCAGACACTGTTCATTTACAGTAGTCTGAGGCTTCCTTGAAATGGGCCGCAGTGTGCGCTGTTCGGTTGTTCTGACAGAAACTCTCTTTGGCAAAGGAGGGCAAGAGTCACTCCATACACCATCTGCTGTAGGTGAGGGGATCGAACTCTCCCAAACACCTCCCAAACCACAATCAATTTCCAGCAATGAAGCCAACTGTCTTTGCCTTTGGCGCGAGTGGAACGTGTGTTAATTCACGAACCAAAAAACTTGGTCCTGATTTCATGCACGTTTGGATAGCCACGGCACCCTTACAACAAAAACAAAAGACTAAACAAACCAATGGGAGACCAAAAGAAAACATCCTTTTTGTGGGCTTAATTCACGAAAACAGGCCACGGCTGATTTCCTGCCAAATCCACGACGCCAAACAGTCGCACACCTTGTACACTAATCCGCATATGTCGGTAGTGGGATCTCCCTCCAGGAGTATACGTGCTGTCTCTTATACACATCTAGATGTGTATAAGAGACAGCACACACACACACACATACACACGCACATACACACGCACATACACACCCACATACATTCTCCTTGGGGAGCTTCACCTGCTGGAAACTGGGTCCAGCGTCCCATGAACGTCGTGAATAAAGCATCAACCGGGACCCCACACACACACTCTCTTCAAGTTGTGTATAGCGAACATGACAAAACATACATACAAAATATTCACTACCTTACCCTTCCTGAACCACATAAACAAACGAACTACGGGCTGCGCACCCGTGCTCTCACGGTAAGTCAATTGTATTCGAACACACCATGCACGTGTTCTATCCGAAGTGCTCTTCTATTTGAGAAAAGTGGACCCACACCGTTTCGATTTCGGAATGTTCAAAACTGAAGGAGCGGCCTCCTCGGCCTCCTACGGGCTGCTACTTGTCCTTCCCATGCCCCTCCCCTTGCTAAGGCCCGAAACCTCAAAATGCCCACCCTCCCGAACGACCACCGACATTGAAATTTCAATGATGTTGAAATGTCTTAGGGGGGGAAAACGCAACCCTGACGCGCTGCAAATTTTTCGAACCTTCCAAGGACCAAACGGACCAAAAATGTCTCAGGGGGGGGAAATGGCTAAGGGGGGGAAAACGCACCCCTGACGGGCTGCGAACAAATAGGGTCAGGCTAGGGTTGGTGGTGTAAGATCAGGTTGGACAAAACAGGGTCCAGCAAACTGGATATCCACAAGATCACCCAGGGACAGCCCACACGGTCTGTTCTGGACAGCCCACACGGTCTGTTCTGTTGCTACAGGAGTTCGATCCCGTGGTTAGAGGGACTTCCGTCGGGGGGTGCATCACTCTTCCCGCATTTTGCGAGTGACCGACTCTACCCCAAGATACGGGTGCCCCCGGCTCAGTGGGGTTCTAATGCGTAATGGGCTCGGGGACACGGCTTCCCTCGAACGGAATTGATGGGCTTGGGAAGCGATCCCAAGGGCGTTTTGGCCTCAGGCGAGAGGGACAGAGCTCGAGCCCCGCCGTCTACAAGGAAGAGCATCGAGGCGGCAATAAAAGGGAAGATCGCTTGTACTTCCGCGCGCTCCGCGGTTGTTTGCGGGTGCCTAGCGGGGTGCGTTGGCTTATTTTAAAACTCTGCTTACGTGGACGATTGCACGGGAGCGCGTGTTTGCTGCGCGTTCAGCTGCGGTCGAGTGAATGAGCGCGCACGGGTCGCCCGCCTCCTGTCTGCCAGTGTGTAGAATCGGTTTTCCCAAAGGCGTCTTGGCGCTGGCTGGCGCTGGAGGTTGTGTGCGCGATCGTGCGCGTGTCCGAGTTGGGTCGGGTCTGTGTGCTGGTGGGCGGGGAGAAAGTGAAGTGACGCTACTGAGAGTAAGAGCGCCATGTTTGGAAGCGGGGCCGGTTCTCGTCGACCCTCCTCTTCGTCTTCCTCCTTTTTGGGAGGAGGACGAGCTGGAGCGGCGCCTGTAGATTTAAACGCAGCGGCTGCGGCAGCAGGAAGGAGACTGGGCGGTGCTTCTCCGAGCGATTCAACGATGGCGTCGCCGTTGCGGCAGCCGCAAGCGCCGATGCCCGCTGCGCCGGCGGGTCCTGGAGGTGCGCGCGAACTGATCGTGAAGAACTGCCCCAGCCACGAGTGCGCGCTCACCAACAAGGCGTACGTCCACGACGTTGACTTTGACCTTTTCCGTTACCTAACTGGGGGTTCCCATGGGTACGTGGAGGCGGCGGTGGGAACGCCGGAAGAGAACGTGTTGATGGTGGAAGTCCACCCTAATGTGGAGAGAGGGGGATTGGGGTTGAATGTGCAGCAAAGGAAGAACCTGAGGGTGTCGGTGGGCGACACGATCAGAGTCAGGAGGTTTCCCCAACCGCCAGCGAAGCCAATGCCTGCGCCCATTGCGCTGATGACAATCGAGGTGAGTCTAACGAAGATCAAAGGGCAAGGGGAGGAAGTAAACGCGGAGTCTCTTGCGAAGGCGCTGACTACGAAACTGGAAGGGCAAATCTTTGACAAGGGCCAGAAGTTCCCGTTCGAGTTGAATGGGCCGACGCTGTTGTTGGAGGTGATGTCGATGGTGCTGGAGAAGGAATCGCCGGGCAAAGCCGCAGCAGCAGCGGGAGCAGCAGCGGGAGCAGCAGCGAGGTCGTCGTCTACGGTTATGGAGGAAGCGACCCGTGGCCTGCTGACAAGCAAGCCGCCGAGCAAACCATCTTTCGTATTTGAAACGGGGAGCCAATCAAACGTCAAGATCGTCGGGCAACGAGGCGGAATGCACACGAGTCTCTTCAGACAGAAAGAGTTCAACTTCCAGAAACTGGGGATCGGCGGTCTGGACGCGGAGTTTCACGACATTTTTCGGCGCGCTTTCGCTTCCCGCGTTTTTCCTTCGCACATCATCAGCAGGCTGGGCATTCAGCACGTCAAAGGAATGCTTCTGTACGGTCCTCCGGGAACGGGGAAGACTCTGATTGCGCGCCAAATCGGTAAGATGCTGAACGGTAAGGAGCCGAAGGTAGTAAATGGTCCAGAGATTCTAAACAAGTACGTGGGCGCGTCGGAGGAGAACATCCGGAAGCTGTTCGAGGATGCGGAGGCGGAGCAGAAATCCAAAGGCGATGCCAGCGACCTGCATATCATCATCTTCGACGAAATCGACGCAATCTGCAAGTCCAGGGGTTCAACGAGGGACGGCACGGGCGTGCACGACACGATCGTCAATCAGTTGCTGACGAAGATCGACGGCGTCGATGCACTCAACAACATCTTGCTCATCGGAATGACCAATAGGAAGGATTTGCTAGACGAAGCGCTGTTGCGGCCGGGAAGATTGGAGGTGCAAGTGGAGATAGGGTTGCCAGACGAGAAAGGGAGGCTGCAAATCCTCCATATCCATTCTGGCAAGATGAGAGAGAATCAGTATCTGGATCGGAGCGTGGATTTGGCGCAGCTAGCGGAGATGACGAAGAACTTCAGCGGTGCGGAGTTGGAGGGATTGGTGAAGAGCGCGGCCTCCTTCGCGCTGAATCGTCAGATCAATCCGGACGATTTATCTCAACCGTTGGATGAGGAGAACATCTCGGTCAACATGGACGATTTCCGCCGCGCTCTGGATGAGGTTAAGCCGGCATTCGGGGCGGCGGTCAACACGCTGGAAACATATCGACTTCACGGTATGCTAAATTACGGGGGTCGGCATGAGCACCTGAAGAAGACGTGCATGACGTTGGTAGAGCAAGTGCGCAGCAGTTCCAGAACGCCTCTGCTCACTTGCTTACTCGAGGGACCGTCAGGGACAGGGAAAACGGCGCTCGCCGCCACCATAGCCATAGAAAGCGGCTTCCCGTTCGTCAAAATAGTGTCAGCCGAGAACATGGTGGGCTACTCGGAGAACTCCAAGTGTCAGACGATTGCCAAGGTGTTCGATGATGCATACAAGTCGCCTCTTAGCATCATCGTGCTAGACGATATCGAGAGATTGCTGGAATACGTAAAGGAGGGGCCAAGGTTTTCGAACGTGATCTTGCAGACTCTTCTCGTGCTAGTGAAGAAGCTTCCCCCTCAAGGCAGGAAGCTGCTCATCCTAGGGACCACCAGCTTGATGACGACCATGGAGTCGCTGGGAGTGTCAGAGGCTTTCAATGTCAACGTGCACGTTCCGCCTCTCGACACGGACGAAATCCGCAAAGTACTGGAGGAACTCGATGTTTTCGAGAATTTTGCTGACATTAACGCGGCCGTGGCCAGCATGATGAAGTCCGAGATACCAATCAAGAAGCTGCTGATGATCGTGGAAATGGCCGCGCAGGCGCACGCAAGTAGCAGTGGCACATCGATGCAGCAGCTGTCGCCAAACGGCGGTGCAGCGAAGGAGCAACGGCGAAGAATAGACATCAACCAATTTATTGATTATGCTCAAGATTTGGGGACAAGCTTGTGATGGACTCGTGAATTCATTCATTCACTCGTCGACCGACTCATCGTCATTCCAGGTTAGTTGGGAAACACGGCCTATGGTTGGATTGGTTTGGTTTGTTTTGGTTTTGGTTTTGATTTTGGTTTGTTTGATAAGCTGTAATCTGCTCTCACCGCCTATGGTTGGGTAAGGTGGGGTGGGGTTCTGCTCTCACCACCTATGGTTGGGTGGGGTGGGGTGTGGGTGGGTTGGGGTGGGGTGGGGTGGGGTTGGGTTGGGTTGGGTTGGGTTGGGTTGGGTCGGGTTGGGTTGGGTTGATAAGCTGTAATGTGATCTCTACCCTATTTGTCACCTCAGTTTTGCCAGATATTTTGGCGATATACAGAAATTTGTTTTTTTCCTAAAGTTAGGGTCTTGTTCTACGCCCGCCCGATCTGAAAATGGGAAATGCATCTAGGCGCGTTCTCTTGACAGATACACTCACCATATTTACATTCGGCGAGTGTTGGAACGCATCTAGGTGCCCTCCCTTAACAAACTGTGGGTTCAGTCTTGTCAGGTTTGGCGACATATGGCGTCGCATGTTAGTTATTAGTATTCCAAATGGACGGATGGATTCATTCATTCAACCAGCGAAAATGGGCTATAATAGTTTTAAAGGCATGATTGGCAGATATGCATAGACGCCTCCCCGATTACTGATGAGATCATTCCAGGTCAGTTGGGAAACAGGGCATATGATTGATCTTCTATTAATCCCTCTCGCCCAAATATAAATGCCATCACTTCAGCGTTTCCAGGTTTGGTGACCCAGTGTCGGTTCAATTAACTCAAGGAAATGAAGAAGGGTTTAAATTTTACCGAGTAATAGGCAATCGTCCAAAGGTGAGAGACATGCATTTGTCATCAGCTCTTCGCTCCACTGTTTCACTCCCTCACCCATTCACGCGCCACACTGCCACCTGTTTTCACCCTCCTCTCGATCCTATTCTCTCTCTCTCTCTCTCTCTCTCTCTCTTCAATCTCTCACCTCCCTTTCTCTCGTGGTCTCTTTCGTCCTTTCTCTTTGTCTTCTCTGCTCTCTCTCTCTCTTTTCTGTTTCGGTTTTCAGTCCATGATTGTCGATGCCGGCTTCACGCGCATATCTCTTGCTTTCTCGATCTCTCCGCCCTACTGCCTTATACTCATGGACTTGCACAGTCGGGACTCCCTCCCCCATTCGTTTTTTTGTGCGTTCGTTCTTCCACCGGAGCATTTTTTCACTGTTGTTCCTGCAGGCTATGGGTCTCTCCTTTCTTAAACTCGCTCAGCAGGTTGTGTGATATGCGTCCACCCGCTCCATGTGTGCACCTGTTATGTGCTTCGCCCCGATTTCCTCAGCTCTTGATTCCCTGCTTGCTATCTGGTTCTTTCCGTGATATTGGAGTTGGTGATGCTCGTGATGATGATGATGGTGGTGGAGCTGTTGATAAGGATGATGGCTGTGATGTAAGATGAGGATGGTGATGGTGGTATGGGTGGTCATCATTATGAAAAAGGTCGTGATGATGATGAGAGTTCATCTCAGATGATGAGGACGGCGATGGTTTACATCTTTTCATGGCGGGTAAATTGCTCTCTGCTCCACCGAAAGTGGACACAGATCGATCTCAGGTACTGCGAAGTAGTTAAGGCCAGCTAGTCCTTCGGATAAATGGAATAAAATTTTTCTTTCTTCATCATTTTCTAAGGGCGAGTGGATTTGCACTATCGCTCGGAACTGGAAATGGCAATTTCGCTTAATGACGAGAGAGGGAGAAAGGGGGGGGGGAGGGGGTGCTTCTAGGGTATTGCGCACTATCTCTTAACCTCCGCGGCCCTGGAACCGTGGATCGCGCTCGGAAAGAATGACATCAAGAGGATCGTATTGCTGCGGCGTGCTATGGAAATCAACGATCTTCCGAGCATGGAAAGATGGAATGCGGAACCGCAGATGATGACATAGTGCTGTGTTTAGGTGATTGGTTAATCACGCCTGTGTTGAGTGAA